CACTGAGCTTTGCCTGTGGCCTTGTATTTTAAAGCAATTTTTGCTTCCTAGTGTTTCATATGCCTTGTTTTCTTAGATATTAAAAATTTAATATCTTAAATTTTATTTTCCTTTTTTAGTCTATAGTTTTTTTCCATATTGTTGCCTTCTCTGAGGATAGAGTGGCCATTAAAAAAAATGTGTAGTGGCATCAGTTTTGCTATTTAATTTTCAAAGCTTTCTTCTATCCTGAGGGAATCGTATCATTTATACCATGGTAGAGAGGGAATGTAGTATTTTGTCCTACTGGATTTGTATTTCACTTTTCTTTTTATTGTAATCCCTACGCTGGCACTTCTGTGCTTAAGATTCTTCACCTGTGAATTGGGTATCAACTCTGGGTAAAAAAGTGAATAGTAAGAGAGAAAAGGTATGTCTCCTTTGTTTCATTGTGGAAGTCTGTTCAGTTAGAAATTTAAATGTCCATTGTATTAGGCTGTTCTTTGTTGTTTTAACTCTCATTACATTTTGAGAACCTGAAGTCAAACCTTCCTGTTTACCCCCACTCGGTTAGAATAAGTATTAAGACTCAGCAAAACCCAGTATTTGGAAGTTAGTAAACGTGGGTTTTGGTTATTGAATACATTTGTTACTGCAAGTGTATTCATATGGCCATATTTCTGAAGTGACGCACATTTTTTTCTTTCATACAGTTATCAGAAAGGAATTCTGAAATGCAGACTTAATTAAGAATACAAAGTGTATTGTCATAGGCATAAAATGCAACCTTTTATTTAACAAGGAAACTAAATTTATGTTGAATTTACTCAACAAATCAGTCTCTAGATAGCTTTGTAATTACAGTTTTATGTAAGAATACAGCTCTATTTAAAAAGGAGGCGGATGACTCCAGTTGGTAATCTGCTGGGTCATGATGATAGTTCAAGCGATGGTTTAAGAAAGGAAGAGTAAAGAGCATATAAAATGTCTTTCCCTTTATAATTTATTCCTGTCTTCACAAATTCTCAGATCAATTTAAGGTCTTACTAAACTGCACTTTCAGAAGGATTTAAACTCTTAATCGAATGTCCTGACAGGGTTTCATTTTTACCTTGAAGAAAATTTGTGTTTCTTAAAACCTTGTTTTTTTCCATTTCATTTGTTTTTTTTCTTGGTGTCTAGTTAAACTAAGAATTAAGCTAAGTTCCTTCACCAGCCTGTTAACCCTTCTGCCTCTTTTAATACATGCATTTTGGGCCAAAGCTGTGTCAGTTTATGCATTCTATACGGTTTCAAAGTGGAAAAACTGATTTAATTACAAATGTAGTGTGCCATCTTGTGGAGGATTATGCAGTCAGCACAGTCTTACTCCCAAAACTCATAGCAGAATGATAGTACAATTGGGCACTTAAAATAAAGAGCCTGTTTCATTGTGCCAAATGGTGTGAAGATACTGATGTCTTTACATGTTATTTTTAACATGTCTGCCTTATTTTTAGTGGATATAAGATGTTTAGATTGGTACTACTGGCAGTAAGTAGCTTTGGGGTTTATTTGGAACTGGTACCAAATTGGTACATACTCTGTACCAAAGAATATGGTTGAATTTTAGTTTTTGTGGCTTGAATAAAGATTGATTGGTGATTGATTCAGTGTTTTAGAATGAAATTTGTTTGGCATTTTGAAAATAGGCTATTATTGGCCACTTTATATCTAACCCCTCTCATTCCCTGGCTCCTCCTTTTCATTCTGTCCTATATGCTGCAAGTTCAGACCTGACCTTGTCACATGTCTGCTTAAAATCTACTGTGGCTTCTCTACTGTCTGTATGGAGTCAAATTCATTTAACCCCTTCCATGGTCTGACCACTGCCTGTCTTGTCCACCTACTACCTGTGTGTTCTTTTAAATCAGACAATACATTTATTCATGAGAGTTTAACCATTTTACATGCATTATTTAATTTAATTCTCACAGTGGCTTTATGAGGTAGGTACAGTATCACATTTTACAGTTTAGGAACTTGGTGGTGGTCACATGACTATGATGATAGAGCTAGGATTATAGCCAAGATCTGTTTGACTTCAAAGTACTTTTAATATTTTTGATATGTTTTTCCTATCTCTAACTTTTGTTATTCTTTTATTGTGCTTGAAAAGTCTTCTTTCCTGCTCCCCATCCTGCGTGTCAGAACACAAAGCCACCTTCTGATGCATAGGTCAAATACCACTGTCTCCACAAAGCCTTTTCTGAGTCCTATCAACCAGATGTTCTCTCTTCCCTTTTTTGAACACTCATGGTGCTTTTATCTTTCTTGTGACACTTAGTCTGCCCTTCATTATGGTGATCTATGCACTTGTTTTATATGCTTGACTAGATTGTAAACTCCTTGAGGATAGGGACTATGCCTTTTTTCTTTTTATTCTCTAACATGCTTTACCAATTCAGATCAGTACGCAAAATATATTGAAAAAACATTCCAAGTGCTGGGAAAAACGTAGTCACTATAGCCTGTGCTCCATTAAGAGAAAATATAGAGAAAGGGTTGCTCCTTGAAAAGGATTGTACTACCCTTGGATGTACATGAATAATAGAACCTATAAGCATGAGAATGGACTTCCAGTAAACCAATCTACCACCCTGCTGCAAATACTAATGCTTTTTCCTTTCTCTTTTCTACTTCCTTACTTCTCTCTACAGTTCTCTCCAACTATTTCCATAATTTTTAAAGGTCTTTGATATCCTTTATGCATTAAATAATACTTTGATTGGTGTTTGTTTCTAGATAATAATTCATCTTCAAATGACTTAAATGATTAGATGATTTAATTTTAAAATTTTGTTACAAAATTTTGTTTGCATTTTCATTCCAGGTACATCAAAATATTCAGTTTCATTCGATTCATTTAATTTTACTATTATACTTCAACTGGGACCACAAAGCCTTCATGGATAGGAATGACATCTTGGCTTAATTCCATTGGGATGCTTACTCTGTGCCAGATTTTATTTTGCTCAGCTATCAATGAGGCTGTTGTGGAAATGTGGGTTTTCTTTGCTGTGAGAATTTATGCGTACAAAGAGACCTGCTTTTCAAAAAGAACACTGAGAACCCAGAGCCCAAGAGGAAGGGTTATTAAAGTTAATGAACCAGGGTAACCTTATCCAAAGGGTACCCAGAAACACTATAAAACAAAAGGTCAATTGCTATTGCTATTTTAGTTATGGACTGACCCCCTTTCAGCTTCAGAATTTAACAGGGTTAATTGCCATTATAGTGAGGGCTTGGCAAATAATTTTTAAGCAGGATGAAAATTCTTTAATTTTTTTTCATGTAAAATTTGGGCATTACTGTGTGCCATTTTGGAAATAAAATGTTACTTAACTAATGATAATGGATTCCTTTGTAGTTCTGAGATGTAACAGTTATTAGTAGTTTAAAGTAATTGCCTTTATTTCACATTTATACAGTGCCAAAAGTGTCCTAGGTACTGAATTAGACATGTAATAAGATATAGTAATACTGTTTATTTTATCTGTGGTACTTAGCAACTACAAAGTTTTTTGTTTTCCTGCATGTTAAAGGTGGAAATGCTGTTCATGCTTGACAGCCTTCAGAATGTTTTCATGTGACTCGTATCTGAAGAATCTCATAACACTGAGAGTTTTCAAACGAAAAAACTAAGACGCAGGGAAGTTAAATGAACTGTACTTGATCACCCAGTTAACACTGGCACTCAGTCCTGTCCCAGTGGGCTGTTCTTACCCAGAGAGCAGTAAAACATGGTTTTGATTTCTACAGGTTATTAAGGATGAAATAGACATTTTACTTAGAAAATTCACTTAAGAGTTTGAAATCATATGAAAATGTGACAAATTTTGTAGGAGAGGGCCCAACTTCACCAATGGCAAAAGGTTTTTTTAAGTAGTGTTACAGTATTTCCAAGTGCATTTTGAATTGTAACCCTTCATAGTGGGACAAAACTTAGGTGATAGCCACCATATATACAAGCATAGAGCATGTCAGAAATAGACCGCTATAGTTTTCCTGTGGTGTTTTATTTAACTTTGAACAATGAATTGGTGGACTTATGTAACCAGTAGATGTAAGACAGTTACACAAGGGGAAAATATTTGAAGAAAGAAAAGTCACTATTTAAAGAAGTATCTATGATGCATAGTGCTATGTGTAAAGATTCATTATTCACTGAGCAAGAAATCAGTTTTTTAGTGAGAAAGCCCATGAATATAATAGACATTTCAGAGTGAGAAGAAACCAAGTTCTCCAAATACCTAGAATTATTCTAGATACCTAGAATGATTTAACTGAGCAGTTAAATCTACCACAATATATTTAGAACCCCCCCCCAGTTTCCATGGGAATATCAAAACTATATATACCACTTTATTTTTAAGATAGCTAACTAACTTACAGCTAGTTTTAACCATTGTTTTTGATATTGCAGTAGAGAAAAATCACCTTTAATGTGCCTTTCTGTGTTTTCAGAAACAACTAGACTTATGATTATATAATACTTTTATACTGTATATTCCTCTGGGGTTTCTGTTTTTCACAATCTGAGTAAAAAACTCCACAGGTCTTCAAGTGGATAAGGAGTGGTTACATTGTTAAGACTTAGCTGGCAAAATGTAAACTTTTCATGGCCTAACAGAAACTCTTAAACAGGCTATACATCAGATTCATCTGGGATACTTTGAAAAATTACAGCCTCTTTTTTTACTCAGTAGAGACCTATGGACTCAGAATCCTGAGGCATGCCTGCTGGTTATCTGTATGTTTATAAATCTCTCAAAATAGTGGTTCTGCAGCAGCATTCATGTTTAGGAAATACTAGTCTAGTATATATTTTGGAGAATTACCAATTTTACAATCTTATTTTAAAATTTATTTAGATGTACCTTCTTAAATGACCTTAAAAACAACTGGATGGGTCTGGGTGCCTATGCTTATTTTGTCCTTTTGTTCATTTTTTTTTACACATATTTTTCTGATTTTCATAGAGACTGTTTATTTGTTTGGTGGCTGGGATGGAACACAAGATCTTGCTGACTTCTGGGCATACAGTGTGAAGGACAACCAGTGGACATGTATCTCTAGAGACACTGAGAAAGAGGCAAGTTCCCAGAAACTTTTCATACATCTGTATTACAATGGCGTGTGGGTATACACTTCTTTTTCTGCATGATTGTATTCTCTAACCTCTATCAGCATTGGTAGCAAAAGAATTTATAGTAAACAAGTTTAAGTACTGTTGAATTTCAGCTTCCATACCTGGCTCTTCAGCTACTGATATAGAAACACATCTAGTAATATTGATATTTTATAGGGATAATAGAAATGGGTATTTTTACATCATTTAGTTTTTAAACTACTTTAGCCCAGAAATGTAACTCTGTAACTGTCTGTATTTTGTCTCATGTCCTTGTCACCTCTGTTCTTATTTTTAGCATTCATCTCATTTTTATTTCCTCTGGATAAACATGCTTTTGATATTCTGGCCCCTCACTGTCATCACTATTTTGACCCCTTACTGTTTCACTATTTATCAGTTTTCATGAATGATATGTATTTTATTTTTAATTAAAATTGTATATACGTATGCATGTATGTGTCTATACATATATACATGAATAGGATGAATAGTGAATAAGATGGCCTGGGTTTATGGCTTCGAATTAAACAGGTGCATGATTATACACTGGGGTAAAGTAAATATGAGTTCATTTATTATTTTTTCAAATCTTTATAGAACTTTTTTATTGCACCCTCCAGTTAAGCTGTTTCAGATTATGAAGAAAAATAAATGTAACAAAACAGTAGAAGTTACAGATGAAAAGGGGGTAAAAAGCCTAATTCAAAACCTACTGATTTTGATCTAGAAAGGCCATTTACAAAGATCTGGTTCTGTATCTTTAATCCTAGAAAACTGGATTCTTACTTTTGTGGAACTGTGTTCCAGGGATTAATCATTTGGGTAGTTTTTATTTTTTCAAAAAGATCTTGAAATTCTGATTTCTTTTTCTTACCCTTGGTAAAAGTATATAAAAATGAGCTGCTTTTTTCAGTGTTGAAGTACTTTTTTCTGAAGTTATTATTTCTGTCTTCCTCAAAAATAAAGATAGATCTAAAAAAAATACCTAACTTATTTCCACTAAACTATTTTAAATCTAGGTTGATTACATCCATAATTACTCTTGCAGTAAGCCTAGGATTCATCCTTAAATCCTCCCTCCTCATCACTGAATGTATCTAATTAGTGCCTAAATTCCAACAGTTCCAGCATCCAAATGACATTTCAAATGTCTTTTCCTCTCTGTTCCTTTTGGCAGTAATTTCAGCTTTATGGTTTCTTAAACTTTTGTGTTTCCATTGTTAATCCCCAGATCTATTCTTCATTCATCAACACAATCTTTAAAAAATATGTTTGTGACACCTCTGCTTAAACCCTATGGTTAGTTCAGTCACTGTTTCAGTTATCTTTTACATTCTGTTACATCATAAACACAAAACTTCAGTGGCATACTTGCTCGTGAGTCTGCAGGTTGGCTGGGTCATTCTTTTTGTTTTGGTTGGGCTCATTTGTCTAGGAATTAGCTGCCTGTTGGCTGATCTGGGATGGCTTCATCTGGGACTACTTGCTCTGTTCTGTGTAGTTGCTCACCTTCCCACCGGCTAGTTGGGGGCTTGTTTTCATGGCAGAGGCAGCGCTGCAAAGTGGATATGAGCAATCCATCAAATTTGTTCTTGTCTTATTGGTGAAAAGAAGTCATGTAACTAAGTCCAGAGTCAGTTGGTTACTCAGGTAACCAAAAACATAGATATAGGGAATTATGGGGAACAACAATAATAAAATAACAATGAAGCAATTTATTTACCTCAGTTCCTTTTGCTTAGAGTAAAACCTCCAAATTTCTCATCAAGATTTGGTCCCTAGCTACCTTTCTAGCCTTGTCTCCAGGCTTCACATGCCAGCCATACTTATAGTTCTTGAAATTATTCAACTTTCTTACCTGTGTCTGTTGGCAATGTTTTCCCTGTTTGGGATTAACAGAGTATCTCCCCTCACCTGTTACCTAGTAAATACCTACTTATTCTTTAAAACTGAATTCTAACTTCACTTTCTCTGTGAATCCTTTCTTGACATCCTCAAACAAATTAAAAGGTTCTTTTGGTGTGCTCACTTAACCCCTTTTAGAATTTGAATGGGTTACTATAATGATTTATATTCTTGTTTCCCTATCTTGACTTTGAATTCCTTAAAGGCATGAATCGTATTCTTTAGAATTTGTGTATTTTAAGGATGTGACACACATGTTTACTCTTTGGTGAGTAAATAGATGAGGTAAATTAAATGAAAAGTTAATGCTTAAAAAAACAAGGGAATGATGATAAAATACAAAATTAAGGAGAGTGGCTGTTTGGGGCAGGGGATGGGGTTTAGAGGAGATTTCAAAGGTAGTGTTAATGTTCTGCTTCTGAAGCTGGTTATGGGTAGATAACTTTATCCTATTTTTTATACCATATACATATGTTGTAAGTAATATTTAGAATGCAGTCAGTTATTTTAAAACTTGTGCTGGAAAAATATAGAGATCATTTTGGTGTGAACACTTTGTTTCTCCTATTTTGAAGTCATTAGAGATAAGTAAAGTGGTGTCTTAATGCTGGAGATCAGGTTTATTATATTTTTGTATTATATTTATCTATTATTTCCTCATAAAAACCAAAAAACCTTTTGTTGATCTACCTGTGAATTGAATGATAATATATGGTGCTAGCATAAATGTTCATTCCTTTGAAAATTGAACAGTTTAGTATTTCATATATTTCATTTTATTTTCTATATCAGTAAGTACAAATTATTGTTGGTTGATACCCAAGGGCATGTATTTTAAAAGCATGATATACAATTAAAAAATAAGATTAATTTAATTTACTTAAATTAGTATCTAATAGCACATTTAGCAGATTGAAAGATAAGAGAATGGCTCAGCGAATAATTATTTTAAATGTTCATGTAGATATGCAAGTAGGTTTTTATAGGTTCAAAACAAATGCATTGTTCTTTAAAGCAACTAATGAAGACAACCATTTTTATTAGCCTTAATCTAATTCCTATTTTCTTTTTTAAGGCTAACTATAAAAATTCAGTATTTTCTTATGTGGCTATAAGCTATGATTATTAATGAAAATGAAATTTACAGCAAGAGATATCTTATAAAAGACTTGATTATAGTTTTTTGTAAAGGGTGGGTGGGAAATTTACTTTTATATATATTTTTAAATCATATCTTTGTTTTCTTACATGTTTCTGATTTCATTCATCGAATTATAGAGTAGAAAGGAATCACACATGACTTTTCTTGGAGTGTACTTGTCTTAGTGCTTCTCAAGTTTTGGTTTCAGGATCCTTTTACACTTTAAAAAAATCCCTTTAGTGTTCTTAGTTTGGCTTATATCTATTGAAAATGACTGTTAGAAATTAAAACTGAGAACTTTAAAAATATTTTTATCAAGTAATTTAAAATAGCAATAACCTATTAAATGCTGACATAAAACATTTTTATTAAAAATAACTTTTAAAAGTTTTAATGAAAAGACTGACATTGTTTTGTATATTATAAATCTCTTAATGTCTAGCTTAATGGAAGACAGCTAGATTCTCATGTCTGCTTCTGCATTTACTGTCTTCGTGACAAGTTTTGTGTGAAATATATGAAGAAAATTGGACCTCATATAATTGTGTTTTTGGAAGGAGAGTAATATTTTAATCACCTTTTCAGATGATTGTATGTGTTCTTTTTGATTCCAAACCCCAACTTGACAATTGGTTGTTTGTTAAAGGTAGTTGCAATATAGACTCTGAAACCATATCAGCTTTGTTACATTAAAATCCACTGGTCAGCCTTGCTTTTTTAATGTGTCTTTTACCCATGCATGATTTTTTTTACCCTGGTTTTGGTCACTTGAAAAATATTGGTTCCCTGAGTTATGCACATCTTCCAAATATTGTTATTATATTTAGCATATTTTATTATATAGTATCCAAAAACACGCATTTGTTAATATCACTATTGGTTTCATTAGAAAAGTCTCAAGTATTGAAAAGGTGTTAAGATCTTGTGGCAGACAGAAGTTTTCAAAAATTCTAATTTTTGCTTTAAAACATGCATTATGTTATGGGCAATAAATTTTGTCAGTTTTCCTTCAAAGTGATATGCTTATTTCTTCACTCATTTTTGAGAAAACATCTGCCATAATGTCTGAATAAGCACTGTTTGGTCATTAGTTGTTCTTTCAAGTAAATATAATGTTCCATGGAAAAAGCAGCTACACCAGCTCACAGCTCAAACAATTGCATAGGTGCTTTTTCTTGAGGCAACCATCATATATCAAGTGGTACTTTTTATAGCTTTCTAAATCTCTTGAATGTTTGGTTTAATGGAATACATCTGGATTTCTTATCTGCTTCTGTATTTAGTTGCTGTATCAGAAATCGTGTAGTCTCTATAAAATTTCACATATACTCATAAGAGAATGAGAGTGAAAAGACAAGTTTTTATCTTAGTATTGTTGTAAAAATAACTTTGACTCATGGACTCCCTAAAGTGCCTTGGAAGCCCTAACCTACCCTAAGAACTGCTGCTTTAATCTAATCCGTAGTCTCTATTCAGAATAGATAATTATCCCAATACTGCTCAGTAATGTCCTTTACAGGTATCCTACTGTCACCCTTCAGCTCCCCATTCCTGATCCAGAGTTTATTCTGTCATCATACATTTTGGTATCATGCTGCTTTAGTTGTCTTTAGTCTGGAATAGTTCCCTAACCATTATTTTTCTTTCTTAACTTTGATATTTTTTGAAGAGTACAGGGCAGTTATTTTGTAGAAAATCTCTCAATTGGGCTTGTCTGATGTTTCCTTATGGTTGGATTTAGGTTATACATTTTTAGCAGGTATAACCCATGGATGACATCAGCCCCTCCTCAGTATATCATATCAGGAGACACCTTATGTCAGCTTTTCTGATGTTAGCTTTCATCACTTGGTTAAGGAGGTACCTTCTAGATTTCTCTACTTTATAATTAATAAGTAGTTTGTGGGGAGACATTTTAAAATTATGAAACTATCCAGTTACTCATAAAACTTTCACCCTTTTATCACCCATTAATGAGACTGCTAAACCTTTTCCCCAAAGTGGTTGTACCATTTTATACTTCTGCCAGACATGTATGAGACTTTTGGTTGCTCTCCATTGATTTGCTTTGGCCAAAAATCAATTGATCATATAAGTATATGTTTCCTTTTGTACTCTAAACTCTTTTTCATTCTGTTTTGGTCTCTTCTTATACCAGTATGATACTCCTTTGGTTACTGTAGCTTTATAGTAATTTATGAGGTCAGATAATATAAGACCTTTTTGTTCTTTTTCAAAAACTTTTTGGCTTTTCTAGGTCCGTCACATTTTTATATACATTTTTGGATTATCTTACCAGTTCCTAAAACTGTTAGAATTATGATGGGTATTGTGATGAATCTATAAATCAATTTGGAGAGAATTGTTATCTTGATGATATGTAGTCTTCTAATCCATGAACAGAGTTTAATCTCCATTTATTTTAGTCATTATCTCTCAGCACTCTTGGAGTTTTCAGGTTAGAGGTCTTGGGTATTTTAATTAAATTGATCTCAGTGGGGGGGTTTGTGTTATTATAAATGGAATTTTAAAATTTTTATTGTCCATTTGTTGGCTGGTAATATAGAGAAGTACAGTTGGTTTTTAAGTATTGCCTTTGTATCATGTCACTTATTTCTCTACCTCCTTCCTCTTTCTTCCTGCCTTCTCCCTCTTCTCTTCCTGCTCCTCCTCCTGCTGTGCTTCCTCCTCCTCTTTTATAGTGTTGTTGTTATTGGATTTCAGTGTTACGTTGTCCTCATAAAATAAGTTATAAATGGAAGAGAATATAGATAAAAAGTAGAGTTACTCTTCCTCCTCTATTTTCTGAACCATTTTGTCTAAAATAAATGCTGTCTTAAGTGCTTGATGAAATTTACCAGTGTCGATATCTGGGCCTGGAGTTCTCTTTATGGAAAGATTATAAATTATGAATTAAAATTTTCAATACGTTAATGACTTCAGATTTTTTTCTTTTATCTCATGTCATCTTCGTGAGTTACATTTTTCAGGGAATATGTTTATTTTATCTACATTGTCAAATTTTACCTATGTTTTTCATGATAGTCTCTTATTTTCTTTTCAATTGCTAGAGATTTTGTAGTAATAATCCTGCTTTCATTTCTGGTATTAACAATTTGTATTTTTTTCTCCTGTTGTAAAAAATTAATCTTATTAGTTATAATTCTGTCAGTCTTTCAAAGAACCAACTTTGTTAATTTTTTATATTTTTAAATGTTTTCTATTCTATTGATTTCTATTCTCTTTATTTTGTTTTTTTCTTCATGCTTAGGGTGTAATCTGCTCGTTGTTTTAATAGTACTTGCGTTAATGTAAATAAAGCAAGATGTTCTATTAAAATTTTAAATTAAAAAAATGCAAATCTTACACTTTAGGAATTATGGCTTAGATTTATTATATATTACTCCATCTTTGTTTTTGAGGTTATTTAATTATGAAGGAAATCCTTTCTTAGACAGAATTTTCACTTTTTCTGCTGAACATTTTCCTTGACAAAATTTTTTTTTTTTTTTTGGAGACAGAGTTTCTCTCTGTTGTCCGGCTAGAGTACCCTGGCATCAGCCTAGTTTACAGCAACTTCAGGCTCCTGGGCTCAAGCGATCCTTCTGCTTCAGCCTCCCGAGTAGCTGGGACTACAGGCATGCGCCACCATGGCCAACTAATTTTTTCTATATATTTTTAGTTGGCCAATTAATTTGTTTCTATTTTTAGTAGAGATGGGGGTCTCACTTGCTCAGGCTGGTTTCGAACTCCTGACCTTGAGCGATCCGCCTGCTTCAGCCTCCCAGAGTGCTAGGATTACAGGCATGAGCCACCATGCCTGGCCAAAAATTTTTTATAATAAGTTTTAAAATAATAATTAGTGTGAATGCTTTGGTTTACATTCAAGTCAACTTAATATCTGGATTCTTAACACTCATTGTCAAACTGTTCTTCCTGCCTCATATTTGTTCATTTAATCTAATTAATACAGCTAGATTACTCTTCTTATAATCCTGCTTTTTTATGTTATATGTTGGTTTAGAAATCTGTAATGGTTTTTTTTTTTTTTTTTTTTTTTTTTGAGACAGAGTCTCACTTTGTTGCCCAGGCTGGAGTGAGTGCCGTGGCGTCAGCCTGGCTCACAGCAACCTCAATCTCCGGGGCTCAGCGATCCTACTGCCTCAGCCTCCGGAGTAGCTGGGACTACAGGCATGCGCCACCATGCCCGGCTAATTTTTTGTATATATATTTTTAGTTGGTCAATTAATTTATTTCTATTTTTGGTAGAGACGGGGTCTCGCTCAGGCTGGTTTCGAACTCCTGACCTTGAGCAATCCGCCCGCCTTGGCCTCCCAAAGTGCTAGGATTACAGGCGTGAGCCACCGCGCCCGGCCTGTAATGGTTTTTTTATTGCCTAGAAGATCACATTCAGTCTCCTCTGTCAGTCATTTCCAGGCTTCCTATTTCCACTAAACTTCAATTCTATTATTTCTGCAGCAGCAAGTCTTCTTCTCAGTCATAACCACATACACTGTATTAACAAGTATATTTTTGTCTTTGTTTCTCTTCTGGAAAAAATAATCTGAAATAGTAGTGAAAAGAGCACAGTTTTGGGCTCTGGTTACACTAGGACATAAATTTGCTATCTTCCTACTTTTGTGACTGTGGATAAATTACTTAGACTGTGAAATGGTTATAATGTTTCCTTATAAGGTAGTTATAAAGATTAAATGAGATATACACACATTCACAGTAATAACAAAGAGGAAACTCAGAGATGTTTAGCAAATGTTAGTTCCCTTTCTTTTCTCCCTTTCAAGTAATCAAACCCTGCCAATTGAAGTTATTTTTTCCACCATGAACTCTTTGGCTATGCTATAATTTTTTTTTTTTTTTTACTTTTTATTCAGTCCTGTGATATAAGTAATCTCAACTAATTAATTTTATTGATAATATACTGTTCTTAATATTGTTTTGTTGGGCCGCAGAAATGTACAGCCCATGTGGGGGAGAGACGACCGCCCAAAAAGACTCAGAGTCCAGAGACTTGATGCAAGAGCAAGAGGATTTATTTCCAGCGCAGCGCAGGGGCGAGCAGCACCACCGAGCTAGGGAAGCTGCCGCGCCAACCTTTTTTTTCCTTAGGATTTTATAGGCAGAAACCACACGCAGGTGGCTAGGGATCACAGGGTGGGGGGAAATTCCATGGGCTTTGACCTTGCACAAACATGTACCAGATGGGCTAATATTGGGAACTTCTAATCTTGGTCAGTAAATTCCAAGGACTAACGGCAAGCGGTTTTTGGGAAGTTACAGAGTGGCGCCGGCGGGGGAGGGAGTAGGGTTGAGCAAGCGGATTTTACAGAAGCAGAACGGCGGGTTAGATTTTTCTTCACAGTTTCTTAATTATTTGATGTAGCTGTGCTATTTATGTAATCAGGGGAGTCAATTTTATAATGTAAAGGATAGATGAAGAAGTCAAAGACTGGATTCTCAATCTGCTTCTTTCACTAGCTTGATACTTTTCCTCTCTGGACTTATATTTCCTTATCTTCAAAAGGATAGAATTAAACTAGAGATTTTATTAATGTGTCTTCCAATTTTGAAATTCACTGGATTCTAATATTCTTGCAATACCTATTTGTGCTAGATTCTGATGAGAAATACAAAAATGTTTTTCAGGACCAAACATGTCTTAAAGTAGATTGATATGTAATAGGGAATTGAACTCTGCACATATGACTGAGATGCAGTGCAGTATATGATAGAAGCCATGTAGATGTTATAAACAGAGTGCTATAAGATGCAGAATAGTTCATCTCATCTTCCCTGGTAAATTTTAAGCATTTGTAAGATGATTTGTGTCTCCTACTGCCTATGGCTACTTTGGTTTTCTTTTGAGATTTAAGCCTTAAAGTTGGATTCACATTAGTTGACTTGCATTTCTTAAAAACCTTTTAATGAAAGGTAACAAAAAGGGGCATTTAATTTATTTTGATATTTTATTCCTTCTTTTTTATTTTCCTCTCTACAGAATGGTCCTAGTGCCAGATCATGTCATAAAATGTGCATTGACATTCAGCGGAGGCAAATCTACACATTGGGGCGTTATTTGGATTCCTCTGTGAGGAACAGCAAATCTCTGAAAAGTGATTTCTATCGTTATGACATTGACACAAACACATGGATGTTACTAAGTGAGGATACTGCTGCTGATGGAGGGCCGAAATTGGTGTTTGATCATCAGGTTTGATGCACAGTTAAATATATGGTGGAATAAATTAGTACTCCGTAATTCTTTCTCTTTGAGTTTATTTTAGATGTTATGCTAAGTTGTTTAATATTAATAGTTATTTCTACTATAAATACCTATGACAGATAATAAAAATAGTTATGGTTTTGGTAGATATAAACTTATTCTTTAAATTTTTTCTCTTGTAGGATAAAATAAGATCTCAGAACATAATTGATAATTTATAAAAATTTTATTATAGTATGATAAATATTCATAAATCATAAGAGTAACAACTTGTCCATTTAATATTTTTAATTCTACATTTCTGGAAGACATTTAAAATAACTTTATAATGAGTTTGAGAATTTGAAATCTAGAGCTTTTCTTCCAATTAGTGTGAAATATGTTTAGTTTATAATCACAAATTTGTTATAAACCTAGGAAGGAATTTGATATATACTAGATTAAATTTAGACTCAGTACCAATAGACATTATATAGTGTTATAGACAAGACTACACATAGCAATGTTGTAAGCCATTTTAAGATTAATGTACGTATAGCTCTTATCATGATCCCTGTCAGTTTCTTTATTATTGTTATCTGTCTTTGAACACTTAGTCCATATCAATTCAGTGTAAGTCAAACAAAATAGTAACCACTTTGAATTCTATAGGCACTTTTACTTTGCCCAACCTGTGTCCAAAGTTTTTATGGAGCATGGAGGGGAAAAGAGTTACTCATGCAAGGATGGGAACCTGCAGCCTTGGGGCCACATGCGGCCTTCTGGATCCTTGAGTGTGGCCTTATGACTGAATCCAAATTTTACAGAACAAATCCTTTTAGTAAAGGGATTTGGTCTGTGAAGTTTAGATTTGGTTGAGAGGCCACACTTGGAGATCTGGAGGGCCACATGTGGCCTTGAGGCTATAGGTTCCCCACCCCAATGGAAGGTGGTACTAGAATTATGAGAGTCTAACTTAGGCATAAAATATTATCTAGGAGTTAAAACCCAAATTTGTGTCTTTGCAGATTTTTGTTTGCTTTGAAAGTATCCTTTTGCCATTAGCATATAATTGGTATATTAACACGTGTAGGAGAATAGTAAGGAAATGGAGTGAGTTATACTTATCAAGTTTAGCATTCCCCAACCTTTTTGGCACCAGGGACCAGTTTCATGGAAGACAGTTTTTCTACCCAGGGGGAAAAGGGGAGAATGGTTTCAGGATGATTCAAGTACATTACATTTATTATACACTTTATTTGTATTATTATTACATTGTAATATATAATTGAATAATCATACAACTCACCATAATGTAGAATCTAATGCACCGCTGATCTGACAGGAAGTGGAGCTCAGGCAGTGATGCAAGCGATGGGGAGCAGCTCTAAATACAGATGAAGCCTCACTCCCTCTCCTGCTGCTCACCTCCTGCTATGCACAGTTCCTAACAGGCCACAACTGGGACTGGTAACGGGTTGGGGACTGCAGAATAAAGTAGTAGGTGGAAAATCAAAAGCATTAGTCTTCAAAGAACTCCCCAAGTTGAATTTGGAACCTCTGTTGGCTCTATGTAACCGCGCTCTGCAAAGCTTTGCACATCGCTGCTAATGTCCTTAGTGGTGTTCATGTGGAAAATAAGAACTTCAAGAAAAGTTATGCTGGTTCTGATCTTTTAAAAACATCAGCAGATAACATTGTTAGGGAACAATTTATTGTCTTGTTCCCAAGTTCTTTTATAAAAGAACTACATAGTTCTTTTATAAAAGATGTTGCCCTTTTTTTTTCAAACTGAAAAAAAGAATAGCTTAGTAATAGTCTGACTACAGCACATAGAGTTCTTACATGTGGCCTCCATGACATTGATACAATAGGACGTTCCTTGGAAGCTGAGTGCTGTTAAATAATGCTTGGTTTTCAATTGATTAGATGGTACGGCAGAACACTGGAGTGAAAGAACAAGGATTTTAGCCCTAAATCAGCTAACATTGCTAGCTCTGTGACATTGTGCAAGTAACATCATGTGTATATACCTCCATTTTCTATTCTGTTTCATGCAAATAAAGCTGAAGGTTAGAACTTAACACTTGTGTTCATGACAGTCCAAAAATCACTTGTGGTATTCATGACACTTTAGGATTTAACACATAATGTTCAGATTTGAGAAGAATATGAGAAAGCTAGAGACACAAAGACATGTTTAAAAGTTATTTTGCCATTTTGGATTTTAACATATTAAAAAATTAAAATTCAAAGACTGGGTTTCTTTAAGAACATAGTGGCAGCTTAGTTTTCAAGCTTTCCACGTTTTTGTTGCTTTGTGTGATTTTTGGGAACAATGAGAATCAAACAAAAAAATTAAACACACACACAAAAGCCACATACTCAGCAAAATGAGGAAGCAGAAAATACCCACATCTCTCAGTTTTGTGTAAGTTTAGCTAAAAACAACAGAAATGTCCAGAACTTGTGCTGAGGCCCACAACGATGTAATGGGGAGAACTGGGAATGCAGAGGGAGCCTAACAGTGGTACATTGTAGTGGGAAGTATGAGGAATGAGGCAGAGATTACCCAGGGCAGCTACTTGGGAAGTCAGTGAATAAACAGGTGGAAAGTACCCAGAAAGGCCCAGAGGCAGTAGATATCAAAAAGCACTGTTTTGTAAAAGTGAAGGAAACACTGTGACGGGTGGGGGCAATGGTTCCTTTTGCAGTGGCCAGTAAGAAACTGGGAGAGCTCAAAACTTGAGATAAACCAGATGAGATCCAGAGAATTACAGAAAACATGGTTTCACAGAAGCATCATATTTTGAAGAAGCCCTTCAATTCAGTAGCAATAGACCTTGGGCAAGAACACCCCCCCTTCCATAGGAACTCTCTATAAAGTTGTCTGGTCCTGGTACCAAATCTGTAGAGAAGTACTCTAAAGGAAAAAGAAAAATAGCAAGAATTGCCTTTATGCAAAAGCAGTTGAAAATTATATCCTAGTATTCTAACATGAATTAAATGACTTAATGAAGCTTAAAACTCTGAGGAAAACTATAAAGCATAAATTCAAAAATGCAAATGAGATAGCCAATTAATAGGATCAGGTGAAACTGGACCTGGTAAAACTCAGGAAAGAAATTAAAGAAAAACATATGACCACTTTCAGAAATGAAGACTAATCTATAAGCAGTACAGAGAATAAGTGAGGCTCATACAGCATAGGGATAAGATAAAACAGAAATAAAGAGATAAAAAGGATTAACCAGAAAATTATAGAGCAGGTAGGCAAAGGAAAGCCAATGTACACATAATTGGAGACTTTAAAGAAGAAAACCAAAATAATAAAACAGAACAAATATTTATAAATAAAATTCAAGAAAATTTAAGAAAGAGGATTTTACTTCACATATTGAATGGGCACACACTATATTCAGGGAAAATTAACCCAGGCATTCAACTCTAAGACATATATTATTAGTGACCTTGAACTTAGAAGATAAAGAGATCTTTTTTAACAACTAGACAAAATTACCAAGTCACCTGTAAAACTAAAATGAAACTGGTATCAGATTTCTATATATCTGCTTTCAGTGCCAAGAAACAATAGAACAACATCTAGAAGATATTCAAGAAAAGGCAGTGTGAGCCGAAGATTTTAAATCTAGCCAAACTGTCCTTCAGTTTTGGAGGAAATTGCTAGAAAATGGAAAGTGAGCTAACCAAGAAGTAGTAGGAAAAACTTCATTTGAAGAATTAAAGATCTCAGCTCATTGACTTTCTCCCTGGATCAGGATGGATCAGCAGGCTGAACATATACTTTTACTAGCCTCCAGCTCAACATCCTGTGAAAGAATACATCAGTAATAGTGTCGGGGAAAAAAATGCCATCAGGGAACCTCAAAAATTTGTGGGAATTTTTATAAGGTAGAACACAAATAGGATCAGATCCAACCAGAAGAAGTCAGAGCCTATAATAAGACTGCAGCAAAGGCTGGGAAACAACTTGAGTCTCAGAATTATTATAGTTGGGACAAACATTAAATGATCATGTAGTGACTGAATAGCAGAGAGCATTTTCTAGTTTGACTGAGTGATAATTGTCCATGGGTTAAATGTTGAGTGTGGACACTGGGGCTGGTAAGATGGGAGAAATACCCCCAAGGAGGATCGGAAAGCTGCTGTGTAATAACCCTTCACAGCATCCTGTCTCGCTTCTCTTAACCCAGTCCCTTGAAACAGGCTACAGTATATGCAGTAGGCAGACGAATAGGGATTTTCAGATACAGAGAGGACTAGACCAAAAAAAAAAAGAAAAATTCAAATATTTGGAAATAATTAATACCATGAGAGAGGGGTACTGAACTTAATAAATTAAGAGTTAGTTAAAGAAAAATTAAAGAAAAACAACTAGAAGAGTAAACTGAAGAAAACTTTAAGTTAAAGTGGTATGTTTACAGAAGTTCTAGAGGATATTGCATCCATGAAAAATAAATATCTAAAAAACTTATGAATTTTTGATTTGATGGTGAAATAAAATTCTTAGTAAAATGATTAAAAAGCAGAACAGACACACTCAACCTCTAAATTAGTAAATTAGCTGAAATTATGAGAGAAAAGTTAAACAGAGAAAACGGTCCTGAAGTTTCAATATCTACCTAATAGGAGTTCTATAAAGAGAAGAGTGGAAGCAAAAAAATACTCAAGGTAAAAATGAAGAAAATTCCCAGAGTTGAAGACGCGGTTTTCAGATTGAAAGAAATCACTAGGTGTAGATCAGGCTGCAAGATAAAAAATACCTCCCTACCTAGATACTTGTTTGATGAATTTTCAGAACCAAGGATTAAGAAAAAAATCCTAAATGTTACCACTGAGAGAAAACGGATTACCCTAGTAGGTAAATAAGAATCAGATTGTCATGGGGCATTTTTAGAGGTTGGAGGGTGGTAGTTGAGCAACATGGCTACTTAGAAGGCTTTATGTCTTCAAAGTTTGTGAGGAGAAATTTATTTTGAACCTTTGCCAATCCTGCAATAGGGTGAGATAAAGGCATTTTCACATTAAAAAAATTTTTTTTTCAGGAAAGTGTTATCTACTATTTATTTAATATTAGAAATTAAATAAACTAACAGTAGATGAATAGTCTTCCAACGTTTGGCTTTAAAAATTTCTCAAAGTCTTTGATGGAAAAGACATTATTACACAGAGTTTAATAAGCAGTAGCTTTTCAGAAACATTTTTCAGAGATTAAAAATCACAAAACATAAAATTTGAAACAAGTAGAGACCAAAAACTAAAAGGAAACCATAAACTGATAAATAGCATTGTTTCCTAGAGTGATCTAAATGTATTGTTAGATAATTGACCTTGATTGAAACCACATATCTTATCTAGGGAAGAACCAAGCTTAGGAATAGGTAGCCAGAGGAATAAAATTGTCACTGTTTTGTGTCCTATTTGTTAAAATATGTGAAAGAATTACCATGCTAACACAGTATATGACTCCTTTCTTGAATTGGTTTGGACTGCTATACTCAGAAGAACTGCCAAGATAAAGATGTTTGTACTTCAGCCCTGCTAACAAATGAGAATAAGCCACATCAAAATTGAGCTTAAATATCCACAAAAGGAAATAGAAACTCCCTTTGTAGCCATATGGAGTAGAACCATAGGGGTTTGGTAACAGAGATTGGCCATTAGTATGAATCTGTGAATTAATTAAAATGGAAAATAGACTCATTTAATATGGTTCCCTTAGGATTTTCAGCACAATCCCCAGGTATTTGGAGAGATTTGAGTCATAAGTACTTAAGACAGGGTAATGTGATCTAGCTTCAGCACAGCCCTAGACAGAGATACAATAGTTGAATGGGCCATACTGAGGTGTCTTTAGCAATGGATGTGTTGTTTTTAATATTATGCTCACTTAAGATTAAAGAGTAGGAACACTTTCTGTGGAGTGCCAGGGACATGAAACTTTGACATCTTAATTCTTCAACCAATTCCTCAAATTTCATTCTTAGGGAATAGTAGATTTTCATCTTAATTTATGGAAGTCTATGAGAAACCTGGGAAATGGCAAATAAGGTGCATCTTTTTAGTGGTAGATAAAAGATTAGGAGATGTTAGAGTTTTTTCTTTTTAATAGTAACACTTTTTAAAGTAACCTTTAGAGTTATTAAAAAATATAAACATAGGTAAATAGCAGAAGTAATTTAGTAGGAGATAATTGAACATATATGATGGCTAGTTTTAGCAAAAATTAGGTGTTTTGTATATACGATTTAGTCTTTAAATATAAATGCCACTTGTGTTCAACATCTAATTTCCAACTTGTATTTATATATTCTTTGAAACAGAATTTGATTCTTATTATCTTGTGACAAATGGCTCCTTTCTTGCATATTTTTATGAAAAGCTATAATCTCAGTTGAGAAAATGTAAGAAGCAAGCTTGGCATTTGAACATGAATTGCATAGCTTAATTCAAAGAAAATTAAATTTATAGTGTTGTGTTAAAAGGAGGAAAAATTCTTTACATCATAAGTCTGGAGACTGTTCCACATGTCTTTTTGTTTGTGTGTTTTACTATTTTGTAACATAGTAATTTGAAAAATTTTGTAAAAATAAATGCAAAGAGATGAATTTAGTTAGCTGCATCAATCTTATTTGCCTATCTGCTTTCTTATTAAATGGTAGCAATGTTAATTGGATGCTTCCCTAAAATAGAAGGGAGTTTTTATAAGTAGGATGAAAAGGAAGTTATGATGACGGTTCACATATAGAGTATGATCAGTATTCACTGTTAAGTGTCAATCAACATTTCATGTATCATTGGTTGATTTCGGTAAAAATTATGCAATTTCAAGAAAGCAGAAAGCTCTTTAACCCAACATGTTTTACTGTCAGTGGGAAATATGGAAACCTGAAAAGGTATTTAAAAATTCATCCTGAATTTCTGCCAGGCAGTGAACAGAATTGCAATGTGTGCATATGAGAGTCAGGGGTGGGATTTAGTGTTATTAAGGACAAAGTTCTGGGTTGTTTTTTTTTGAGATTGTAAAACTGCACGTGTTGGTTTCATTTTAATACATATAATAGGAACAAACTAAAACTATTCAATCTGTTGCCTTGTTCTGATAGATGTGTATGGACTCAGAAAAACATATGATCTACACATTTGGTGGTAGAATTTTGACATGTAATGGCAGTGTAGATGACAGCAGAGCCAGTGAACCACAATTCAGTGGGTTGTTTGCTTTCAACTGTCAATGTCAAACCTGGAAACTTCTTCGAGAGGACTCCTGTAATGCTGGGCCTGAAGACATCCAGTCTCGGATAGGACACTGCATGCTATTCCACTCAGTAAGAATATTCTGTACATTGCATTATGTTACTTTGTCATGTATATCTCTATAGGAGAAGTGGTGAAATCTTATGGTTCAGGAAGAGATCAAAACTTTTTCTTAGAAATGAATGGTTGGTATAGCGATGACAGAGAAAAACAAAACTTCCTTTAACAGTAAACTATTTGCTAATTTTGAGACTCTTCACATCAATCTAGTAATTCTTAAATAGGTATTACCTGAGTACCAATCTAGACAATCTTATAACTAATTTTACTGCTTATCTAGGTATTATAGCTATGTCCCTTTCTTATGCCTTTCCACTTAGTGACTTCTCTTAGCAATTATTAATAGAAGAACAGTTTCTTTATCTCTTTGTATTTTCCCCTCTGCTATTTTCTATTTAGCAAGAATTAAGAATTGATTTTATAGAATTAGAATTAAAATTTATCAACAGTTATAAAACCAACATGTTTTTCTCTACAAAATAGAAGAATATAATTAATAATAAATTTCTGTGTACTCATGTGTCAGTTTCAATAGTTATCAATGATTTGCTGTTCATTTTTCACACATCTACCCCACTAAAATTTCATTCCTAGATGAATTTCCTTGGTTTTTAAGTTCACTACTAAATTTTATTGTGCTGGAATATTTTAAAGCAAATTCTAGATATTGCATCATTATACCTGTAAATACTATCATGTATAATTCTAACAGATGTAAGGACTTTTTAAAAACATAATTTTAATACCATTATCATACCCAACCAAAACAAAAGCAGTTTCTTAATATAATTTAATACTTGGTCTGCATTTATTTTTTTTAATATGCTAAAAAATACCATTTCATAGTTGGTTTGTTTAAGTCAGGATTCAGGAAAGATATGTTGAATTTGGTTGTTATGTCTCTTAAATTTCTTTTAATTTATAACAGTACTCCCCCCTCCTATTTCCCCCTTCACCACTTATTTATTTATTTTTAAGCAGTGAGTCATTTGTGCTCTCCCACATTTTCAATTTTGCTGATTTTATCCTCGTACTGTCATTTAGTGTGTTCTTCTATTCTTCATATTTCCTATAAATTGGTAGTTACATCCAGAGGTTTTATTTTAGGTTTACTATCCTTTTGGGGAATGCCAGACTTCTTCTCTTTAACTATTTGGTTATCCTGAAATGTAAACCATACAGAATAGGCAGTATGAATGTTTGATTCTTTTCCTTTATTGATGTTCATTTTAATGAAGGCTCCAAAGTTAACCAGTAAGATCTTTTGAAGTATTATTATAAACTCACAGATTTTGACATAATTTGATGTGTTTAAATCCAATGCTGTCATTATTCATTTTGATGCTCAAATTTTTCTCTGTCTTTGGCCAGTAGGAGCCCCTCCCTGTATATATGTCTTTTTTAGTAAGAGAAAAATTAAGTCATGAGCTCATACTGATATATCCAATTCAAATTAAAGATTTTTTTTATCTTTTCATTAATGTCTTCTATTAATATTTTGTGTTTGTATACTTTTGAGGTTAAAATCCTACTTTATAACAATATTATTTGCTTTGTCTATAATAGTTTTCACAATAACAAAGCTAACAAAGTCACTCAGTGCTATTTAAAATTGTTTTCCGATTATTTTTCTATTTAGCATTTAGCCCACTGGGGATGAGTAGTCAAAAAGCATGTATTAAAATCACTAGAAATAATGCTTCTGTGTGTGGTCATATCTCTATATACAGATAGGTTTACTTGGTTCCCCTCCTCCTCCCAAATTTCAGAGATTTTTTTTTTCTTTTGAGTTAATTTTGTTTTCTAATGCAATAAAAACATATACATGATTCTAAAGTCAACAAAGCATAAAGTCCTTTTGGAGACGTCTGGTTTTTATCCCTGTCTTCCTGCTCTGTCCCCTACAGGTAACTATCTTTTATTGGGTTTGAGTTTATCCTTCCTTTTGTTTATCTTTTTGAAAAAAGAAGTGACCGATCTCTCTCTCTTTCTCTCTATCATACATAGATATTCCTTTTTCTCCTTTTCTACACAAAAAGCAACAGCAACCTGTATACATTATTCTACACCTTTTTTCATTAACAGGATATCCTAGAGATCACCTCTTAGCAGCATATAGAGAGCTTTCTCTTTCCTTTTAATTCCAGCATAGTACTCCATTGCATGGGATCCATAGTAAAATTACATTAGTAACGGTTTAAATTTTAAAGGCTCATTCTGAATTCTTCATGGAAGTGACAACTTTCTCCTTTGTCCTTTTTGTTTCTTCTTTTTCAGAAAAATCGTTGCTTATATGTATTTGGTGGCCAGCGATCAAAGACCTATTTGAATGATTTCTTTAGTTATGATGTGGACTCTGATCATGTAGACATAATATCAGATGGCACCAAGAAAGACTCTGGGATGGGTAAGGGCATTTAGTGATTTTTTCTCATATGTCTTAACTACTTTAGGTAAAAAACTATAGCCCATTTTCTTTTCTTTCTAACCATGTTTCACCCTTCTTCCATTTCTTTAATTGAAGTAATTCTGAGTAAGAGGAAGAACATTCTATCAGCTTATTCAGTTCTGTTTCAAAATATGTGAGTTATTGCTGTTACCTTCAAGCGGAAAGACCATATGTGAATTTCTAAAGGAATTGTTTATGTGTATGTGCTTGCTGAAGGTGGGAGGGCAGGCTTTACAAGAATTAATATCTTAAAAACAGTTTTGTTCTATATTTGCTGATCCTTCCCATCTTCTGTTTTCATTATAGTGACCTATATATTAGTTACTAACATATTAGGGTATGTCTTTGTTCTAAGGGGGAACTTTGTGTGGTTGGTAATACCTTGTAAGTTTACAAGTTCAGCATCTAAGAAGTTATTCTCCTAGGGTGACTGGTTTGCATATTGCCCTGGCATGGTTATTATTAGTGCCCCATCCATTCTCAGAAGTATCTTGTTTCAGTAATTATAGTTACCCTTCATAATAGTTGCTTTGCCCGTGGTTACGATACATAGAAGAGTGGCTTTGATTAAGGTTCAATGGTTTAAAATGCTAATTTGAGCAGTAGGGTGAGAAATTAGATCAGCTTGCTTCTCCTTTTTAGTGTTTATTTATAAAACAGATCTTTTTATTGTTGGCTCTTTTGCAAAATGAAGATAAAAACACCTGTCTCATAGATAATATTTCTGGGTGTTGTATTGATTAATACAAGCTTCTTCTAAAATAAATAAGCAAAAACAACAAAAAAGATATTTTCTATTGAAATAGTTCATATTTAAGAAGAAAAACTTTAAAAAAATACAACAGTTAGCATTGTAGTGAAAAACAGCATGTGAAGTAGTTTGACCCTCAGGACTCTGCTCTTATTCTTCCTAGTAGGCAGGAGGCTAGAGGTTTATTCTCTGGGAGAAACAGAATGATAGAGGCTCTATGGAGGCAGAGAGGACAGGGTAGAAAATAAGAGTACTAAACCTGGGACTTATATCCAATACCCTGCTCCTGTGATGCCAGGCTTGTGTCTCTTGGCAGAAGATTGCAATCACCTCTGAAGAAAATGTGTGGCCCCAGAGAAAAGATCTCCAGATACTAATGTTATAGACAACCCTTTCCCAGTAGAATGGCTGATCTTGCTGCCTTGTCCCCAGTACAATGACTCAGTCCCTTAAGTGCTGCCTACCATATACACACAGTTTTTAATTCATTTTTATTTCTTTACTCTTAATGAATAATCAGTTCAACGTTTTTCTGTGTTATGGCCTTTACAATGAAAGAGAGAAACTAGAACAAAACCAAACTGAAAACAAATCGGAAGTAATGTACTAAATACAAATAAATAATAATAATCAAGATTGCCTTTCTTAGAGAAAAAAGATACTGCGCCCTTTAAATAAGCAGTCCCCAACCTTTTTAGCACCAGAGACTGATTTCATGGTGGGGAGAGGGAGCAGAGCTCAGACAGTGATGCCATGGAAAGTGGCTGTAAATACAGATGAAGCTTCACTCCCTCTCAGCTATGCTTCACTCCCTCTTCACTCCTCTCCTGCTATGCAGCTGGTTCCTAAAAAAAGGTTGGCAAGTCCCAATTTTTCTGTGAGGGTCTGGGTGAGGGGAAGTAGGCAGAGCTCAGGCAGAGATGTGGTGATGCATGGACCAGTTCCTAATAGGCCAGAGATGGTACCGGTACAGGTACTGGCTGATGCCTGGGCGTTGGGGACCACAGCTTTAAATGATAATAGGATGCAATTAAAGATCAGAGACTAAGAACAAGCTTTTGGGAAATAAATTTTGTTAGAATAAAAAAAGTAAAATAATTGTAAAATCAGTAAAAAGGAAATCTAAAAAGTAGACAAAGAGATAGAAATGGAAATTGGAGAAAATAAGGATCTTAAAACAAATCAATCCTGGAAGTCCAATATTGAACTAATAAGAGTTTCTCCCAACAATAGAGAACAAAGAAAATGGAGGAGACAAGACTATAAAATAAATACTAGAAAATTTCCCAAAATTGAAAAGCGCTGATCTCCAGATTATAAATGGCCCCCTAAAGAAGTCACTACAATGAACGTTTTAAATAAACAAACAAAACCTTCTCGCCCTGAAGGTGCATCATTATACATTATACAATTTCACATGTCAGACATAAAGAAACGATTCTAGAGCAAAACAAGGTCACATTCAAAGCAACAGGACTTAGAATGATATAGAAATTCTCAGCAACATTAGAAGCTATAAGATAAGGAGGAACGGGGTCTTAAAAATTCTGAGGGAATATTATCATCAACCTGAAATTCTATTCCTAGCCAAAACAATGAAACAAGGGAAGAAATATTACTTTCATATATGCAAGGTTTATCAGTGGGGATTGTTTGCCTGCAAGTAACAGAAAATCCAATTAAGCAATGGCTTAAACAAATACAGAATTCTTTTTCTCACAGAACAAGAAACACAGGGGTAAACAATCTAGGACTGATGTAGTGATTCAGCAGTGTCATCAAGGCCTTTGGGTTCTTTATATCTTTCTGTTGCTCTGTGTTTAACCTGAGGATGTATGTAGCCTCATGGGGGCAAGTTATCTGAAGTATGTCAAGCATCATGCCTTCATTCTGTATAGGTAAAAAGGAAGGAAAGCAAAACTTGCCTAGAAGCCTTCCCATGGGCTTCTACTTGCATTTTATTGACTAGAACTGTAAAACCTGGCTTCAGGAGAGTCTTCAAAAACAAATATTCAGCTTTTCCAGTCTTTATGTATTGCGTGGGGGAAGGGATTTGGAAATGGCTGTTAAATCATGTAATCAGTAGTGTTTGCTGCACCAGATTTAAAAAATGATAGACCTTTTATGGATTCTTTCTTAGAAATTACTACACCATATACACTAAGAAAAAGGAGTAAGAGTAACAAAAAAGGAAACATAGGAGCTAGGAAAAAAGAGAATCTAACACAAAAGAGCAATAAAGGGGTATCCCAGCTGCACAACAAACATAATGAGCCTTCAGTTCACACTGGAGCAGGAAGACATGGGAAGTAGGCCTTTCTTCCTCACCTAAGATAAGGTTTCCAGATAAGAGTAGAATCAGTAGCTATGTTTCAACATTTGAAATAAAAATTGTTGGTAGGTAAATAGCATCTGATATAAAAGATGAAGGATAGGAACATAATAGGAAAAGCAAAAATTTTTATAAGAAAGAAAGCATTATCACAGGAAATTTCTTGGCTCTACAGTGGATAGTATTTCCCTAATCATAATATTGCAAAACTAGGCCGAGCATGGTTGCTCACATCTGTAATCCCAGCACTTTGGGAGGCCAGGGCAGGAGGATCGCTGAGGCCAGGAGTTGATGCCAGCCTGGGCAACATAGCAAGACCCTATCTCTACAAAAAAATAGAACCATTAGCTGGGCGTGATGGTGTGCACCTGTAGTCCCACTTACTCAGGAAGCTGAGGCAGGAGGATTGCTTGAGCCCAGGAGTTTGAAGTTGTAGTGAGCTATGATGACACCAGTGCACTCTAGCCCAGGCAAGAAAGTGAGACCCTGTCTCAAAAACAAAAACGAAAAAATACTCCGCAATCAATTTAACCAGAAATTGAGGTGAAATTTAGTGGGAGGATCTTCCTCTACTATAATACGATGTCAGTAAGTAATTTCTAAAATAGCAGTGTCATGTTCAAGTTCATGTCTTGTCCTTGGTTCTTGGTTCCAGTGCTGAAGAACAGTTACTGGTCCCAAGTCAACAGTATGAATGAGCAGGCCAAACAGGAATAAGTAAGCCAAACAGCAAGATTTATTAAAGCACAGTACCTTCCAGAGTGGGAACAGGTCTATCTCTGTGAGTGGAAAAGACCCTGGGTTTTTAACACATTTCTACTTTTATGTCTACATCTTATGATATATGCTAAATGGTGGGTGGAATATTCATTTTGATTGTGAGGTGGAGAAGAGGGATGGAGATTTCCTGGAACCGGCGACCGTCCCTTAACTTGACCTCATTGGATAACAAACTGTAATGGCGCTGGTGGGTGTGACTTATACTGTGTTCAAGATGATAGTTCACCTATGGTCGCTGCCAGTTCCTCTGTGCGCATGCCCCAAGGTGTTTGTTTCTGTGTTGGCCCATCTCTTCGGTTTGTGGTTTTCTTACCCTCTTCTAATTGGTCAGCAACGGTAACTCTACCGAATCTCCTTTGCCTGGCCTCCACACCTGTTTCCCCTTCCTCCTGGTCCCTACGCAATAGCAGCTTAAATAAATGATTTAGAACTATGGCTAATAACATTACTTGGCCCATGTAAAATTGTCTTTTTTGTTTACTCATTTATTTTCTGTTACCATAGGATACTGGAGAGGTATATGATTTAATCTTTGACTTCCTCTGGCTTTTAAGAGTTGTTCTAACTTCCCATTAAAATAATTAGGAGGAGAGAGTTAATACACTCCTTACAATCCTAATGTAGGTCTCCCTGAAAAAGGTAGTGAAGATAGTAATTGATATAATAAATAGGCGTTGAAAACTACAAAGTGTTGGCTCAGTGCTGGACTGAGGATACAGCAGAACAAGCTGATCAAAGTCTCTCCAAGTGCTTATAGTCCAGCTAGTAAGCTACTATAATATTCTGGTGGATAATAATAGATACTCTTTACTTAGACCCTACGATGTGCACATATACCAGATTATCTTTAATTGATAGTATTATTCTCATTTATAATATGAGAAAAATTGACATCAGTGAAGTTAAGGTAATATATTCAGCATTACACAACTAGAAAGTGGTAGAGCTAGGATTTAGAAGTTTGAACACGAAGATGTTTTTCTACCATTCTGAATTACTTTCCAAGTTTAAAAGAAAAAAGTGGCAAAGAGTGATAATGCCAAAGAACTAGTAAAAAACCGATTCAATATAATAAGCAGGCTTTAATGACTATCA